CCATTAGCTGAATGTACTATCAATAAAATCCTGGGTCACAAGTACTCACCTTAATATTTAAAAAAAAAAAAAAATTATTTTGTTTATCTATTATGTTGTTATTGTCAATATATATATAAGTAGGTTATGCTTTTTTTTTTAAATTTTAATTAAATATACTCTGTTGTTATTTTATTTTATTTTTTTTAACTTAAGCAGTTACATTAGTACTTTATTAGAATTTTTGAAACTATACAAATTACAGAGAATTTTTCTAATAATTAAGTCTAGTATCACCCAGCCACCTTATTGGTACCTAAATGTGATTTGCTACTCTATTCCAAACAGAAGTAGACTGCTCATCTGACTGCCACTCTACAATAAGATACCACCAATCTGATGATGTTTTCTTATAAAAAAACAAAAAAATCAAAAAAAAGATTTTATATATAAAAAAAAAAAACAGAGATATAGAGATAAATAATAAAAGTATAAAACAAAAAATAAAAGATGAAAAGAAGATAAACAAAAAAAAAAAAAGTGTGAAACTTGTAATTTACAAAAAATCAGATAGTTATGATTTTAAGCCTATATTGAGTATAAAACTTGCAATTCACAAATATCAGAAAATCACAATTATAAGCCTGTATTAGGCTTGTAAAAATTATAAATTATACTAAATAGAAATTATTCTATTATCTTTCTATTTACTTAGATTATTTAAACAAAAAACTAAAAAAGAGAAAAAAACTTTAATTTTATTATAAAAGATTAGTATAAGATACTGGTTAGTCTGAATACAGTGTTTGATAGATTTCTAATAACTTAAGGCATGTGTATAATCATGTTTGTATCACTGTATTATTTCTAATCTACATTGTCAACAATCTTGTTTAGAAAATAAGTAGAAATATTAGGTGAACCAACTTTTAACTTTTATGAGTTCTGAATTCTTGTGGGTATTCCTTATAGGTTTTATAGTTGTATAGAACTAATATATCCAACTTTGTTGTTTACTTAATGAGAAACCTTGACTTTCACTGATTATGTCATCTATAATCCCAAAATGCTTTTTAAACTATTACTATAAGGTTGTGACTCTTTTTCAACTCTATTTCAATGTCCAACAATGCATGTACAGTATTTTAGAAAGGTTTTCATAAAGTTTAACATTAACTATATCATTTTTCTGTAATTCAGTTTTTTGGAAAGTTTGGTTCAAGTGATCATTGAAAAGAATAATGTAATAATTTATTATTTATTTTGTTATTCTTTTTTTTATTGATATTGTTGTTTACTTTAATTGCTAACATAATTGACAACAAGATTGTAAAGAAGACTGAAATGTAAAAAATTATTTCTTTGTTTTATTTAATTTTTAGAAACCTTGTTTCTTGTTATTTTTGCAAGTTATTCTTAATTATTTAATTATAATTTTCTAAATATACCTCATTGTAATTTGTTGTTTTTTGTTTACTATAAAAAAAAGATTTACAAGAAAGAGTTGTTGGCTTAAAGATTTTTACACTGTAGTTTTAATTTAATTGTATGCATCCAAAAATTTCAGGATGCTTTAACCAAAGATTGAAAAATTTAGAAGCATGTCAGGTCATACCTTATAAAAGTTACCAGTTAGGTAACCGGACCTAACGCACGATAAGCTGCGTTTATTTTCTCTAATAATTTTAGAGGTTACTACGTCGGTTATTACTTTGGTTATATGTTTGCAGGACTGGCTAATTAAGGTAATTACTCCTTAAGGGAGTCGGGTAAACAAGAATTGGTATTAACCGTTAAAGATGAAGAATGTGATGCATATAATCGGGCAACTGGAAACTCTTCGTGACCATAGTTATTGTGAACGCCCTTTTTTAATTTTCATTGTATCGCAATTATTTATTTTATGTTCTATTAGTGTTTTGTTACTCTATATTAAAAATATTAAAGTTTACTGATACATATAATTCTTCTAATCGAAGTCTATAAATATTTTCATTTCTATCACTTGCTATACAGTCTAACCTCGTTATAGTTACAGCTCTGGAAAATGAAATTTAGGATGACCACGTAGTCACTATCATAATAAATAAAAAAGATTTAATGCCTGCAGATGTTTCTTATATTTTTACCGTTATCATTACGACGTACATAAATATTATAACATAACAGATACTGTCATGTCAAGTTTTTAAAATTACTGATCATGATTCAATACGTTTAAAATTTGATAGCTTTTGCAAGAATTTTTAAATAACATGAAAGAAATTATACTTCAGCAATTCACCAAACAACATCCTCTCTGAAATACCACAACTATATACTATAATGCAACTAAATACCAAGTAAAAAATTCTAACATAAAGAAAATCAGAAATTAAATGTGAATTCATAAAATCAGTAACGATAAATAAAGTTTAGAGTGGACACGTTAACTTCGTGACTATTCGATAAAGATTCTGCTTTTATTATTATTATAGAGCTCTCACTTTACATTCCTAGCAAATTCAAGTCACAAAGGTATTAAATAATATTAGTAAATAATATTAGTGGTATGGGCTTCCCATCTGGCTTATTAACGTTGATACTAAATGACTATAGATCTATAGATTATATCACTTACTATTGCACTTGTTAAAGAAAATATAATTTATTTGCCTTTATTTATTAACTTGCGGTCCCTCAACAGTAGTTTGAGGCAATGAAGAAACATTTTGTTGTTGAGTTTGTTGAACGGATGTTTCAGAACTTTCTTGTGATCGTTCGGATGAAGTATCAGTCACTGTTTGACTAGGAACACTTGTATCTTGTTTTGAGGGAACTTGAATTTCATCGAGTTTTAAAACTTGTGCTAGTTTTTCTGCGGCTTCCTCAACCTTTGCCGCTGGACCCGTGGGCGAAACGCTACCAAAAACCTTCATCTCATAATCTGCACGTTGTTCTGCTTCTTCCTGCGATACATCATGAAGTTGATACCCAAAAACATTAAAAATATATATATATATCGATTAAGCATGTACGAATGTACCTTCAGTTCTTCCGCCAATTTATGCTCATCGACGGGACGGCCCGTGCGGGAAACCATGCCTTGAACCGTCAATGATGGAACACCAATCTCTTCACTGTAAAGAAAAAAAAGAAAAAAAAAATTTTTATTATTATTAAGTTTATTCTTAATATGAACAAAAAAAGCCAAACAATAAATGGATATTAACCTTACAGCGGTAGCATATTTACCCATAGCCGATTCTTGAAACAAATAAAATTATTAAAGAAATGTATACATACTAGGGAAAAAAAAAAAACCTATATATATATAAATAGTACAAATAAAGGCCAATAATAATAACTTACGGGCAACTGAGGTAGTACTTCCACGAGGAACACCAGCCGCTGTCCCTTCACGCTTAGCATGCTCCGCAGCAACTTCTTTCAATTGAGCAAGGTGTTCCAATTCTTTACTATGTGCAATACCTTCATGAAGTAGCTCACCTTCTTCAGAAATAGAAGCAGTAATTATAGCTCTGGAACGGTTATTATTGACTTTAGACTGTCGATATTGGGCAGTAGGTGAAATGTCTTCACCTTTATCAATTTTTACCACGTGTTCGAGTTTTTCGGCAGCTTCGGCGACTTTATTTGCAGGTCCAACTGCAGGAACACGTCCCATGTATGTCGTTTCATATATGCGTCTTTTCTCTGCTTCCTCCTATGAAACCAAATTAAATTAATAAATAATCTACATATTAACATACAAATATAAACGAAAGACAAACAAACCTTAAGTTCTTTAACTAGTTCATCTTCATTGACCGTGTTTGCGGGCGCAACCATACCCTGAACCGATAATGGTGGAATACCAGTTTCTTCACTAAACGACCATTTAAGTGATTAAATGAAGGATTATATATATAATTACAAATTGTTAGATAGCATACCTAATGGCGGTCGCGTATTTACCCATCGCAGATTCTAATGAAAATTAACAATTAATTAAAATAAAAAATGTATATAAAGTAAAAAATGATGTGATAAAGAATACATACGAGCTAGACTAGCAGCACTGCCTTTAGGAATTCCATAAGCACCAAAAGACTCCTGACGAGCATGTTCGGATGCAATCTCTTTTAATTGTGCAAGATGTTCAAGTTCTTTACTTTGTGGTATTCCTTCATGAAGGACTTCGCCTTCTGGAGAAATTTCAAATAATCCGGGACCACCTGATGCGAAACCATGGCCTCGGCCGCGACCAAAACATGGAGCTTGTGGTACAGAAATGCCACCTACACCAGTGGGTTGTTGAGTGACATTAGTGCATACAGTTGGTTGTTGTGCGACAGACTGTCGATCTGTCGATTGTTGTGCTGTTGATGGAACTGTTGGTTGCTGAGCCGTTGGTAGAGTTGTTGGTTGTTGGGCTGTTGGCAGAACGTTCGGTTGCTGAGACGCGGAATTAGTTGCAGTGTTAGAAGGATTCATCGTTGCTACTTTCAAAAAAAAGGTTAAAAAATAAAGACGATGAAGTTTTGTATAAAAATCTTTATTTAAATAGCCACTCATATATATAGATATATACATATATATGATCATTAATTATATCATTATTTGACAATGGATTGAATCAGCATAAAAAATGCAGTCATTGCGTAAGTTATGGTTTCGGAATAAATCAGAAAAACTTGTAATTATATTTATAACGTAATTATTTGTTAATGTTAAGGAATTTGTTATAAAAAATATAGTAAAATGGGTAAGGCCGAGTATCCACGTGTTAATTAAATTCCGATAAGCTTAGCAATCAACTATTCTGTTCAGAACTTGCATCTGGCACGAATGGTATCAACTAAAGTTTAAATTAATCTTTGATTCTAGCCAAGCGATAGAGCTTTTAACTCAGAAAATCGTAATAATCAACGTTTTAATAATCTCGATAACCCCTCAAGCATAACCACCCAAATCAGTTCCGTAAAAATACAATTTATACTCGGCATTATATGAATTTTCAGGTAATTTTATTATGAAAAATTTTATTATATTAAGTTATATGTATTTAAACTCTGTGCGTAACTGATTTGGGTAGTTATCTGTTATGCTTGGTTCGTCTAATATCAATGATATTTTGAACGTACATACTTGATTATGTTTGCGTGCTCGAGTACTGATTAAATTACGTAATATCAAATTTTAAAGTCAGGTACAGCGAAAATTTAAATTTTATATACAGGTTTCTTCTCGGCCGCATTCAAAGAAAATGGACAAAAATTATGGATATGGTAATTCTCTTACATTCTCAGGGTAGAGGTTGGAACCGGTTTTAATAATGCGGGTTTATCACGTGAATTTTGAGATAATTTAGAAATTTATCCAATTAAATTTTAGTAAATTCTAAAATATCACAAACACAAAATTCTTGTGATAAACTCGAATTATTAAAACCGGTTCCAACCTCAGGGATTAAAATTTGATTATTACTCATAATCGTTATTCAATTTGGCAGAGTACTGTTTGTCAGAAATTACGATATAAAAAATTCTATCTAAGTACATGCCATAGTTTGATCCCAGCTCTCTACTGTCATCTGGACAAAAATTTTAGTGGAGTGCTGTGAATATATAAAATTAGGTGATATAACAAAGTGATGGGTAATCTGTTCGAAACACTACTCATAAAAACTGACAAGTAAAAATCAATTTTGGGGCACTGCTCATAAAAACTGATATGTAACTGTTAAGCAACTCCTAAGCAATCTTACAATCACTGACAAACAATCACTTCTAATATTAGTAATCACACTATATTATATATATTATTCTATTTAATCTCGTCATTCAACTTATCACAAAGTTGAAGATTTCACCATCTTTGAGAAAGGTACACTTATAGTGATTTTATAATGACGTTAGATATGATTAGTGTGTGATTTACTAATTTAAAAAAGTAACCTAATTAAAATTTGATACGTTCATATGTATATATCTCTTGCAGTATAGGTGATCCTTTAGGTGATAAAAATGTATTATGAATCAATTGATTATAAAGTATTGTGTGTGATCCACCTAATGTTTTCTAAAATATAACGATAATTATTATTATTTAACCTTTATATTAAATCTGCTTGATTGTTCGCCCTCCAAAACCGTTAGCTGAACCACAAAATCCATAGTGGGCACAGATGACTTGTTCGATGTTTTGTCGATCTAGAACTAGATAGCTGAATGTAAATGACGTGCTGGTAGGAGTAGGTTCGGTCAGCGTTGTTCCTGGACATGAATGTTTATGGACATAGAGAGACTATAGGGTGTCCATGTCCAGGTCCACGGACTGTCTGTCCATGTTCATGAACGGTATATGTCCACATGTCTATGGACAGATGTCATGTCCATGGACAGGCGTCCGAAACATCACTGGGTTCGGTCGGTTATGGTCAATTATCAGTTATAATCGATTTCCTAACTTTTGACCTGCTTTTTTCTTTGGAGCTATTAATTGAAATTGTTTGGAATTAAATTCTATTCATATTGTCCTATAAACAAAAGAAAGAAAGAACTTTAGAAAATTGATTATGATCGATCATGAACGATTAAACCGAACCAATGTAAAAAAATCTGTTTGAGATTTTGTTCTCGTGAGAACAAATTCATTTAATTTAATGCTCTCAAAATATTTTTATGTTCTCAATAACAATATTTTTATGTTCTCAATAATAAAAGTTTATTTATGCACCCACTTTTTGAAAAATTGTTTCGGAAAAATTTCGGTGATTTTTTCATATTTTTGTTATTTACGGAACTTTCCGGAACATTACTCCACTCGTATTATCATTTGTCCGATTATTTCCGATACGAATACATTTCTACAGTAACAGTAAAACATATCCAATGCTTATTAATAAAAACTTTAAAGTGTTATAACTTTTTTAAAACCAGCTAAATCAAAGACCCACTAACAAATTGATGCAAACTACATTTCTGTCAGAGGATTTTTTTATCCTTTATTTTAAAAAGTTATAAAGGATTAAAGTTGGTATTTAATATGAAAAAAGAAGCACATATTTTTAACCAATCAGAATCAATTATACAAAATTAGCCAATCAGAATCGATTATATAAGCATGCTGTTTATTACTATCCCTTGCTATACAAAATTTATGTCTGTATACGATTATCTAATTGGTCGAAAAAGAACAACACATTTTTACAATTTTATAGTAAAATAGCCAAAGTTTAAAATGTTACTACACTATTAGTTTCGCTTTAAATTTAAACCACAAGCTTTTATTCTTAAATACAGTGGATTATTTTTGCATTTTATAAATTTTTAAAAGAGGTGTAGCATTTTTTTTTTTTTATAAAGATTTACATACATAGAGATCATACTTTTCAAGCAATATGTTTAAATTTCTTTTTTATAGGGAACATTTTTAAAATTACTGATGTTCTCAAATCAAAAGGTGCGTTCTCATAAGAAAATGAGATTTCCACCACTGAACCGAACCCTTACGTTTAACATTCTGATTTACCTTTCAGTTATACCTAGAATATGTTATTGTCGTTTCTTTGGAATCTGTTTTGTTCTGAGCCAATACTAGTAATATTTAGTAATGGACTCAGCCATCTTTTTCCTAAATAAATAGTTTAATTGTCTAAAATAATAAAGTACATCTGATATTATCGTGACTCTGATTTAAAATTTCTTTTGCTTTCGTATTTTCAAGGTCTAAACTCATCAAATTAATAATAACGGAGTTAAGTAGGTAATTTTTAGATAAAGTGCATAATACCATATGATTTAAATTTTGGGTGGCGATTTAATCCTGGTCGTTATTTCGCGTTTGTATCTCCTTTAACATCATTCATTTAAGACAATCGTGCAACAAGCGAAAATTATTTAAACCAGAATTCTATGCATAAATAATTTCAATTTCATGTTTTACTATAATGAAAACTAAAAAAGGGTCATAGCTTGGGCAAATTAAATTTATCTATAGATGTTTTCATCTTTATTTAATTAATAAATAAATATAAATACATAACAAAAACCACCCCCAAAATAAATATTATTTAAAAATTAAACAAAATTTCAAAGTGGTGAATAAAGTCAAGATGATCCTGCCTTCAGTTGTTCTAATTGGATCGTTAATGCTCGAATTGTCACGTCGCGCTGTGCCAATTGATTTCGAAGGTCATCATTTTCTTGACGAAGTTGATGGTATGCATCTTGATACTATTATACGAAATCACAAGAATAATATTAATAATGAGTAAAGTTTTTTAAGATTTATGAATAAAATAAACTACTCACTTCTTTTTCAGTCTTCGGGGTTGGTACAACATTTTCTTCTTCCTTTGGCGCAGAAGAAACGAATTCTTTCTTCTCTTTAGCCTGAAAACCATGCTCTAAGCTAATAGTTTTAGGTTTTGCATTTTTACCACTAAAATATTCGTCTGCTGTGAGAGCAGGTTCACCACTAAATGTTGGAGGGAATAAATCTGATTGGAATGCATCAGACTAATAAGAAAACACATTCATTTAGTAATACATCATATGAATTTTAATGCTAGTAAATAATAAAATTCATACCCTTCTTGGTACAACAAAAGAAATTGGTTCAATAGTATTACTAGAAACCTTATAAGCTCTGTCAATCTCACATTCAGATACATTGACACTACGCTTTGGCAAAAATGCCATTCCACGTTGAGGTTCAGATGATTTATATTCAGTTAGGTAAAATAATTCATCATTTTCAAATTCGTAATATCTAATGTTACCATCACTGTATCACATTAAGAAAATGATATGTTAATAACAATATATCTAAAATATGCTTGAAACATATTTAAATAAATACAAACCCCTAAGAAAAAATAATCATTTAATAAAAAAAATAAATAAATAAATAACATAAACAAAATATGTTAAAAATTTTTACCTTTCCAGCCAAATATAGTATCTTAAGATCATTGTCATAAAATGGCATAAGAACACCAGATGATGTGTCCACCATAATACTCTTTAATGGTTTATCAAGATTAGCAGTGTCCCACAAAAACAATTGACGGTCACTCATTTTCGAGAAACCTGTTGTCACGATTCTTTCGGTATCGCCAAGCCAAACAACTCTAGAACCTTTAATACCCTGATGACTGGAGGCCTCTTTAATCACATTTCCAGAGCGAACATCAAAAATTCTAAGCTTCTTATCACGACATGTCGTAGCTAATAAACTACCATTATAATTCCAGGATATGGATTGTATAAAATCTACGAAACCTTGGAGTGTTTGTTTTTCTTGACCTTTTTCAATATCCCATAATTTTACAGTAAGGTCTGCTGATGTTGAAGCAAGCACATTATCCGCTACGGGATGGAATAAAACATGACCCACTTTCCTATGTCATTTAAGCAGTTGAAAAAATAAATAGTGTATGTGAATATTAATTCATTGCTTATTGCCATCGTAAAATCAGTCTACTTTTCCTATAATCAATTTCTTACCGTCCATGGCCATTCAATTTAGCGACCGGCTCAATGTCAGGGGATTCAGGTTCTCCAAGTTCCTCTGGAATATTCCAAATCATTACCTTAGAGTCCTCAGAACCGGATGCAATAACATAATCATTAAAAGTCGCAAAATCCGTATCCAATACTGGTGCTGTGTGTCCACGATATAGCGGTATACCATCACTTATTTTACCTAGCATTAGATGTGTACACGATTAAATTGGCGATATTCATCTAATAATATCATCTGAATGGCATAAAACTTACCAACATTCTTATGTGGTATCACAGCGAAAGCTCCGCCTCCACCGGCGTTCCAATTGATGGCAACAAAAAGCTAGAATCAAATATAAATGAATATGATTAAAAAAAGAAAGGTTGTTAAAAAGGCATTAAATATCCGATCGAACAATCGGCATTAACTAAAACTTACAGAATTAACTTTAACAAGGTTGGTATCCCATGCATTCGCCGAAACTTTGACATTATCAAAGCAGTTTTCATACTTTGCTGCTGTACCAAAAACGTGTCTGTTATCAAAAAGTGCATACATAAGTTGATAAATAAACGAATCAAAAACATCAAATATTATAAAAGAAAAAAGTCGATTGTTTCATTCATGTTTGCTAATAAAAGAGCATACTTTGTCAACGCTGTTAGTACTGTCAAGATGAGCCGTACCTGAATTTCGAGGCTCGTACAAATCGAGACATCGTGAATTTACCTTGGAAAAGGTCAATGTAATACTCAAAAAATAAGAAAGTCAGGAGTGTTTTTAACTAAAAAGACTGGCAGAATTAATGGCGGATTTAAATAAGAACCAAGCCAATAAAAATGAATTAGTTCGCGTAAGTAAGATCTAAAGACCAAAGAAATCGATACAGTGTAAGTGCCAATTTTGGCTAAGAAAAAATCACGTGAAATCCAATATGCTGTAGTGTGATTGGCTAGTAGATCAATCTCGTATTATAAAATTTGCTTTGTCTTTATCGTTGTGTCTTGGCACTAAAAAAGTCAATTAATTTAATTATACCGATACAGTATAACAAGGTAATGTGACGCATCAACAATGTACAATAGCATTCAGAATCAGATGATTTTATAACTTTCGATTTGTCAATCGAGTAGTTCAAAAGTCATCTTATGTTCACCAGATCCAGATGGATACTAATTATATTAATGCCTAGATATAGCAAATAGTAAGACTGACGTAACTGATAGAGAATCAATTTTGTTAAGGGTTTTTATTACATTTCTAAAACCGTTAGGCAGTTAGACACTTCTCGGATTCCCGAAGGAAACTTGGTTAAAAAGTTTATTGAGAAGTTTAATTTAGAATGTGAAAAACTTTCATAATTATTTTTCACTTATTGTACGTAACATTTCTGATATAATTATGTATTAGACCTAACGCATCAATTTATCTTGCAATCTTGCTTAGTCGCTAAATCACTCTTGGGTCCTTAATTAGTTTTTGAGTTTGGTATCTTTGGAATTTTGGTTATTATCTCAATGAAACAGAAATCCTGATTCCCAAACCCAAGCTACGTAATAATGTCGTTATTCAAAAAAGGGTTGGGTCACAACCCTAGTTTCAATGCATTCAATTCTTCATTAAATTGCGTTAATTTTTTCATTTTCTCTTTCTCTTCATCAAGTAATACTTCACCACGTGCTTCCTTTTCTTTAATTCGTTCAATCTGTCTTATCTTCTTTTCAAGTGCTTTTATTTTTTTTGCGGTCGCTTCCAATTGTTCTATAGTTATCACTGTTGAGTCTGAAAAACTCTGCGTATCCTCAGATGAAATTGTAATATTTGACACTTTATCTTGCAAATTGTCAATTTCCTGATCAATTTCATTAGCAGGCATTTCTAATTCTTTTTCTTCCTCCGCCACTTTAACTCCATCTTTTTTCTTTGCATTTCGTTTCGCATTCTTCTTTTGCGCCTTAGTTTTCGGTGGTTCGACTGTTGGTGTGGGATCGGGTTCACGTTCTGCTACGAATTTATTTTTATATCGTATTATATCTTCTTGGGGAACAAATCCCGGGCGAACACGGCGTTCCTTACGAAGACTACCGTCCGCGCGTCGACTAGCGGGAATAACGCGTTCGTTAGCTTCAGTAGTAACAATTCCGGAGGGTGTTACCTTTTTTGTAGACGACATATTAAATGTTAAGAATGAATTGCTTTGAATTTCAATTGTGATCCATGAATAAATTTTTATCTAGCATTTCGATTGGATAGCGTAAACCAAAATTGATTACGCCATTTATCACAAGTAATTGTATTACAGTCCAAGTATGTACGTACGTACGTATTTATGCAACTATATATTGATATCTGATACGTACGTATTCAGATATCGATAGGGTTATGACAAATAAGTATTGCCTTTTTTTCGGGAAAAATAAATTTGACAGATATTTTCTTTTACAAACCGTGCTTATTACTGTATAAAAAAATTTAGAGGTCTGAGAAAAGAAAGTCAGTTTAGAAAATCTCTAAACTTTTGATAGTTAACATTCTCTACACCGATACCAGACTCTTGGGGCTTAAAAAAAAATTCAGTTTAAAGAGTGTACTAATACAACTTATTAAGTGTCAGAGAGTTGACTAAGATAGTAACTATCGCAAAATGTTAATATTATACACAGAAAATTTTTTTAATTAATACAAAACTTCTGCCTGCTTCATTCCATTGCTTCATAGAAATTTTAATACGCATGTATTAAACCTTTATATGTTTTGCTTTTTAATTGGTAAAGTGATACTGATGCATCTATAGTTACTCTTTTGATTTGAACCGGTTGGTAGTGATCAAATCGTTAGTTGAAAAACCAAATTTTGAAACAACTAGTTGATTAAATCAACAACTAGTTAAATCCCGAAATATTCCAGTTATTCGGGCTGGTTCGTGTTTATTTTTTTAGTTTGATTGGCCAATCAACAAACTTAGTCACATGATATGGAAAGTTGATTAGTTGCAACTATAGTTGGCAATTAATCGATTTAAAAAAATTTTACTAACTTAAAACACTAAGCAGGTCTAAGGTTCAATTTCCACAGACAACAAACTTTGGAAATTATATCTGAATTATGATAACTGTCTTTTGTTGATTGATTGAATTTAGGTATTTGTAACCTTAGATAGGTTCCATCTAACATTGAAAGCTTGAAGCATTTATGTGAAGTATAATGTTATACATAAATAAAAAAATGTAAAAATCAATGTTATATAAGATTTTTGTTCAAATTTGTAATAAGTTGAGTATAGAAAACTAAAAAATCAAGAACATGAAAGTTTACTTAAAAATCCTAAATAAAAAGATATTACAAATTTTTAATGATGCTATTGAACTAATAGAAATTTATAAAACATTTTCAAGGAAATTGTTAAATAAATCTGACAATAGGTATTTAAGAAAAACATATATATTAACCAAGTTATCAAAATTATTAGAAGAAAAAGAATATATAAGTATATCAAATTAGATTATATAGATTAATAATCTAAAGAGTTTAATTAATTCTAAATAGTGATTAGTAAGAAAAAATAGAAATGATATCAGAAAGATAAGGATTGGGATTTGGATAAACTTTACAAAGATAAAAATGATTTAATGAATAATCTTGACTAAAAGTGTTGATTTTAAATCAGATTAACTATAAATAAAAATATAAAAGACTTTAAAAAGTTTATCTTAAGGATAAAAATAATCTTATAAATTATAGTTTTAAGGTTGAGATGAGAATATAAGTTTTGAATAACTAGTAAAGTTAATACAAGAATTACAAATTAGAGAGTTTAAATAAAACACTCAAGCAAAGATATTAGATAAATAACTAATAAAAAACTTTTAAGCAAATTTAATATAAATATAGTTTTATATAAATATGTGTCTAATAAAATTGTTAATAAAGTTAAAAGACCAAAAAGATTATTTTAATACATATAGTATTAAAAAAATAAAAATAAAAATAAAATTTTATATTTGTCTAGAGATTTAATTTATTATTATTTATTTTTGTTAAAGTTTCTATCTTTAAGATGTAATATTTTTATTTAAGTTTATAAAACATGAGTTGACTTTAAGAGCTCCCTTATATTGAAGATTACAACTAATCATATATATACTGTTAGTACCTAATTTAAGTAGTTTGCTTATATATTATTATATAAGTTCTATACTAGATATCATATCTGTAAGCCAGCTAAGAGTTTTATTATTTAAATCTTCTGTATATGCAATTTATCTTATATTATAATAACATCTTCAAAGCATTACTTATTCAAGTTTTTGATACTTATTAGTATTTTTAAAATTACTTTATTATTAAGGGTAAAGTATACGTAAATCATTTTTTATATGATCTTTGTGGTACAATATAATTTTTATAAAAAATAAAGCTTTGCTAC